TTTAGGGAAGTAAAATTTCAGTTTTTACCTCATATGGATTAAAATAAGTGGGGCTATCACTTAACTGCTGCATGCTGCCTCCTTCCGGATACTGGAGACCAACATTCATGTAGAATGCTCTGGTGAAGTTTGCTGAACCCAAAGCGGGGATGAAGGGATGAGAGACCCTTGCAAAGATTCAGGTACAACCCTTATCGACTTGTGTGAATCCATAGACTAGACAGCTGCCGAAGTAGGACTCTCAGTTCTTTTTCGAAGGCATAGGAGATCCAAGCAGTCTTTCTTTTCATTGACTCTACAGAGCAAGCTTTATGTGCCTGAAGCAGGGCAATGTGCATACCCCTCAAGAAACCAAAATTATGCCAGTCTAAATGCAACCCTCCTGTTACCTCTCCTTATCAATTAGTACCAGTGGGTGCCCAATGGCTGCTCTGCTGTTATAGATTATATGCTATATTATGTGTTATAGGTTGATATTTTGCAGAATGCAACTTAGATTAATTGCACTTGTCAGGGCCTAACCAGGCAGGAAAAGAAAAATAAAAAATTAATACATAAAAATGCTTCTCTTGTGCTACCTTAACATAATCTATATTGGAAGAGGCACAGAAAAATAAGCTTCCAGTCTAATGCACCATTATGGAAGCATACTCACCGTCCCAGTGCCTTCTTTCTGAAACCATCTGCTAAAACATCCAGCTGAGAAGGAAAGGTCAAAATATGGCATCTAAAAGGCATTCAAGGAAGGCAACGGCACTTGGATTAGCACAGGAAGATTGCAACAGTGTCCCTCAGAGACTTTTCAGCTCTCCTCCCATCTTTGCTCAGACTGAACACAATGGAGGTGGAGAAAATAGGAAGGACATTTCAAACCTATTTTAGTCTCTTTTTGGCATTGAAGCATGCAAGCAAGAGCATCTTTTTGAATTAGCTTTAGAAGACTGAAGTCCCCGTATGGCTGATAAACTGAGCAGAGAGCAGGGCTGGATGCCAAAGTCTGATGGCAGGGCTTGGAGACCCCTCAGCATCACCTCTTTTTGATGGATACTGGCAATAACCACACCGTCTAAAGACGTCTTTACTGGCCCCACTTGACATTTAAGGCAAAAGTTGCATTTTTATTGTTTTTAATGGGTCAGACTCTCAAAATCTAATCACAAGGGGGAAAAGATAGTAATGAAAGCCCTGTAGTTACCTTGCTAGAAAAAAAAAAAAGTATCAGAGTAGCATGCACTGTGCTTTTCAAAAACAACTGTAGAGAAGATTTCTTCTTCGCTGACACATTTTCAGTTATTCGAGTCTGTGTGGAAAAATACTTTAGAAATATCAGCTCTGTTGTGTCTATTTACTTAAGGCAGGAGTTTATGAATCAATGTTAAAATTGTGGCTATTTTCTCCTAAAAATTAGCCTTGAATAAACCATTCATGCACCTTCAATAACATAAACATACATACAAAAGGAAGGCTTTAGCCCAATTCCTGGCTTTCTGTCTTTTTGTTCAGCCTGGTAACACACAGTACGTGATGACGCACAATTATAGGCAATTAATTCAAATATCTGGGAAACAAGAAACCGCATCTGCAGTTAATCATCTTGTGCTTTTTCCAAACTGTAAATCATTTTTGTAAAGGCAGAGAACAAAGATATATGAGATATAATTAAATGTGACATTTTCCACAAATCAAACGCTTCCTACAAATGTGCTGATAACATCACAGAACAGCAAAGCTTTTCAGATTGCTCTAGTGTTTATACAATGCTCATCATCTCTCTGAGGCTCATTTGAGGCAGAGTTGTTACCTATTATATGCTGCCATAATGCAGAATTGTCACTGCTAACCTTGGAGGTCATTTCAGTGCACTGCTCCAAATCCCGAGGCAAACACTGCTTCGGTTGAAATTGCTTCCCAGGTAAAATTCTTCCTTTAATGTGCTGAACTGCAGCTGGCTCCTACAGTCTGCTCATAACCCATGTCTATAATTTCAGGTGAAAGCTCAGAACGAAATTTTAGCCCTTTGGAAGGAAAAGGCAGAACTTAAAGCCTGTGCATGAGCTAGGTCACTCGTGCCAGAAGAGTCCATTCGTCACAAACTCTGCCAAAGGACCAAAACAGGCAGAAGCAGTAAAGTAGACTTTTTCCTTTCAAAGCAAGACTTGATTTAACTAAAACTTTTATGCTTAGAAGGTAAGAAAATACCATTCAAAAATTAAACATACTCTTGTACTCCATGTAAAAGTAAAAGGTTTAGTTCAGTTCAAAATTATTTTAAGGTTTTCAATTTGACCAGAGAGAAAGGGCTTTCCAATTTGGAATCCAACTTGGAGGATTTTTTTGTCGTCTTATTATTTTTTGCATTTTCACTATCAAAATGAAACAAAATCAAACCATCCAATTGCCCAATGTGTTCCTCTGCAACTCTAGCTGGAATTTTACCCTGAAGAACCATTCTCTTGAGGTTTAACAAGCTTTATCTTTTTGAATTAGCTTCCAGCAAGAATCAAGCTGTTGCCTTCATATCAATATAAGATTATTATTCCCAAAATAAATGCAGATTTGCTCTACAAACATCCAAACCAACTCAGACCAATTCTGTTGAAGAGAGCGGTAGGCTAGGTGCCCAAAGGTTAGGTTTGGCTTCATTTTGGGGGATATCAATAAAAGAAAGGTAATAAATAATACTTAAAGTCTATCATTGTAAGAAAAAGGTCATAAAACGTATGTGCTTGATATTTGTGCTCTAATCTATCATCTCACAGCATCTGTGGCATAAACTATATTAGACTTGTTTCACTGCTCAATTTGAACAGGTCTTCAGAAGAAAATGAAGAACAGATAAAGAAAAAAAAGAAAGTAAGTTTTCTTGAGCAACTACTGACTTCTGGTTCCCAGACAGGTTCTCTAAGGGAATCTTATTTTCAAAGATGACTCAGTAATTTCTGAAAATTGTGGGTCTCAATTGTGGGCAAGCAGTACCTCCAATAACTTTTAAAGGTTATATCATAATTTTAATAGAAAATATTCATAATGAAAAAAATAGTTTTATTAAAACTAAAATACTATTCTTAACAAAAATATTTTTTCTTTAATCTAGTAGAACTAGAATTTTAAAAGACTGCTTGCAAACTTCCCAGCAGTTTCAAGCCACTCAAACCAAAACAAGTATAAAATATCTTGGGAGAAAAAAAACCAACAGACTGGACATTAATATTTAAGGGTTTGGATTTAGCTTTAAATACATGTACATAATTGTACACTGCAGACATCAAAATTTACAGCTGCAGTCACTTAGCTACCAATTCATATTCTGTTGTTCCATCTGGATTTCTTGCAATTTCTGGATTGTGAAGAACAACATTAATATCTCTCAAATTAGATTTTATGCTCTTCGTTCTTCACAGAAATCTTTAGTTACTGGTGTTTTGATCTATAGTGACTGATACTTTCTTTGAAAGTCGGGATTTTTCCAGTCATAAATTTCCATGTATTTCAATAGGTTTCCTTAGTACTGACACTACACTGCCTCCAAAAGTACAAAATTTTTTTGGGAAAAAAAAAAAAAGTAAGAACAGCCATAGACAAATTTACTAGTTCAAACAGGAAGCTGTGGTCTAATTCTGGAAAATGCAGAAGAAATGTTCATTCAGTTTACTGATCTTCCTTTGTCTTGTATCCTGAGCAATCACATGCCATACTTACATTATCCTATCTTGCATGCAGATATGTGCCTTCCTTGAAAAACCTATCTCAGCACAGTATGAGCAGCCCACAACAGCAATTCAAAACAACGTGCTCCTCACACATGACCTGCATAAGTCTCCAAAGGATGGGCAATCTAAGTAGGTGTAAAATCACTTTAGGCAACCAAATGGCAAAATTACTGTTGAACAATTGTCACAGTTAATGGGATTAATGACTGAATTGGCCAAACCTCCACTCTTGTCATTAAATCCACTGTTGACTCACAATGGGACCTTCAGGAGAAAAAAAGTCCTAGTTAATAACTAACGTGCCTGGGCATGCCTGAATGGGCTCCCAGCTCATTCAGAGAAAATTCCACAGCTGAGCAAATTATTGTGGCATGTGCTTTAATCACATCACTTTACTACACGATCTGTTGAATCAAAGTCTTAGCTATGTCCAAACCCAGTATGTGTCTCAAGTCAGCAACATATCAGATGGGGACAGGCATGTGAACATATTCCCTCTGCTCAATGACATCAGAAGGTCTTGGCTAGAGCTGTCAACAGAAAGAAAAACAGAGTAATATCATGTAGTTCTAGAAACTGGGGACTTGTTACAATTCGCTTTCATTAGAGGCTCTTTGATTACGACGAACAAAGTCTGCCTTTTATACACATGGTGCATTAAAATAACCCAGAGAATGCCAGAACACTGTACACTAGCTCACCTGCTGCCTATTTCTAGTGTGCACCATAGTGCACTGGTGGGCTACTTGGTCCCAAACCTGCCACTCTGCACAGCCCAATGAGCAAACATGATAAAGAAATATCATTTATTAACCTTCATAACATTATGGCTTCTTATCTTTCAAATACCAAAGCACAGACTCTCTCTGAATCTGCTTGTACCGTATCGTTGTTGTCTTCTAGGCCATCTTCAACCTAGAAGGAGATACATAAACCAGGCATTATTTACTACAGGACTAACCAGAGAATTTGCTCACTCTGTGGACCCCACAGACAGAGGTGCTCGTCAGCTGCACAGGGGTTGCTAGAGGGGACAGAGAAAGCCAGTCCGATTTCTGTACAAGGCCAAATTCTCACTGGCTTCAGGAGAAACATAATCCATACAAGAAGCCTGGGTTATAAACGTGCGCATGAACGTGCAGAATGCATTAAAATCTCACTCAGAGCCTTAATATCCAAGGCAAAGAGTACAAGTCCCTTCCCCACTTTCAGATGGGTAAAGTGCCAAGAGTCAGGTGAACACCACTGATCTCGGGAGTGCCTGTGGTACCCCTCAGCAGTTAAAGTCTTTCAGAGTCTGCGTTTTCCCATGCTGGATCTCAGCATTAATATCCCCTCCACAGGAGCTCCTGGACTGTCAATCATCTTCTGCCAGAGGTGCTGTTCTTCCCCTTGAGAGTCCATCCAGTCAACCTCCTTGCCATTACTTACACCTGACAATTACAAAAACATGAGGCATTTCACCATATTAGTAAGCAGTTACTTAATATCCTTGCTTGTTCACTCCAACAGTGTATAAGAAACATGACAAGCACCACTTACACTACCATCTCTATAGGAAGTTATACTGAAAACTCCTGGAGGGCACCAGTTTGTCATTTAACTCCTCTGTGGCACATGGCTAGAGGCACATAAACCTCCCCACTCTGCACCACAAGCAACTTTCTCCTAACAGAAGGACAGGATTTACACCTATTCCAGGTCACGCAGATGCACCGCTACCAGACAAAAGTAGTGTCCTTCTCCTCACTGGGATACAAAGAAAAACTTCCAAGCTATTCCCAGTTGTTCTAGACTGCACAGAAGTACAACTAGACACCAAATACTTCCGTCTCACTCCACAGAGGAATGAACTAAATCATCTACAGACAGCATGTTGCCTTCTCTCCCTTTTCACTCCCCTCAAGTTCACATATACTTTCCATACATTCATTTCTGTCCTTCATATACATGAATCATGTGGGATGAAGAAGAAGAGCAGAATAAGAAAAGCAATCATGAGTTAGATAAGACCTTACCGTTTCCAGTGCCCAAACGGACACCTCCCAGAAAAATATTACTGGAGAGTGACTCCTTGTCCCACACAGTCAACTCTAGGCAGACGTTACGTATATCCCTTGAATTCAAGCCACTGAAAGCAAAAGTATGATTCCACTGGGGGTTCACACTCTTTTTTATTATGGGAGTTTTGTGTTTTGTAGCTTTGCTGTCATCTGGGAGCAGGTATCTGAGAGATACAGAAAAGGAAAATTGACTATCTAGACCAGCTGTCACATAATACTCATGAAGAATTATAGTCATGTAAAAGCTCAAATGGGATCAGGACCCTATCTCTCCACTGTTACTAAGCACATACCTGAAGTGGATATTTTGCATTTGTGCTTCATTTGTTCTTATAGTTACAATGTCAGTTACTACCAGCAGAAATTCAAATTGGGCCTCCTTGCCCCAAGTCTTGGGTCTTAACCACAGACTCTTTATTTCAGTGAGGCTAAATATAGACAGTATCATTAAAATGTTGCCTAGAAGTGGCCTCTGGAGTCACCATGTCCAGCGTCCCTCTCAAAGCAGGACAGGACGTCTTCCAGTAAGAAACAGAAATGGGTGATAAGGAAGGAACTTCAGCAGGTTAGCATCATTGATTTCAGTTGCCTAAAGCCCTGCTGAGTGCAGAAACACAAATGCTTTAAAGCCTGATGAGTTCTTCACATTTTACTTCTAGTGGAGAATTCCTTTAAGAAAACTAAAATAATACTGTAGTTGAAAAACAGACGTCTCTGCAAATTTTCATAGTCTATACCTTCACCTCCTTCAGCAAAGCTAATGGAATAACTATGTGGTTGCACATAAATAGTAAAGGGTCAGTCATACAAAGACATTATATGACTAGACCTTGACCAGAGTTCCTACACAAGCTTTGACTTGAGAATAAACGATAGCTGGTTTACTGCAGTGGGCTAACTGTGAGCTAATCTATGTCGAATTACCTCAAGCTAAGAGCACATATCAGACCCCTGTGACACTTCAGCTGGTTTATGGCAACTTGATTATGAGTTTGGTCACAACACATGACAGACTAAAAGGACCAAGGAAAACGGACTCCTGTTCCACTGTATTGAATTTTTCATGTCAGCAGTACCCCAATAACTAAAGACAGTCTTGGGAATTATTTGCCACATATTGCTACTGCTAAGAAAATTTTCTCCCTGAAGTCTGTGTGAGGTCCAGGTGCAAACAAGCCATAGTGGGATCAGACAGTCTATTTTCAGAACTACCTTTACATATATCAGGAAAAGAGAGATGGCACGGGAGAACATATACATAGAAAGAATAGTTCATATAATAGATCATCTAATCCAACCTTCCATGGCAGGGAGGTTGCATTAGATGGTCTATAAGGCCCCCTCTAACCTAGGCCATTCTATGATTTTATGATGATTCTGTGAATAGTTCAAACCTTCTCTACATGAAATCTATGAGCTAAGTGATAGTTTGAAGCACACTACCCAAGACCAAGACAAATTCTCAACTTCATCAAGGAATTAAAGTCAGGATGTTTTCTATGTTTTCTATGGTTCCCATAGACAGTAACAACACTCAATCATTACTAACGGACTAGAGCATATTTAAAAATCAGCAATTCTGAAAGCTACAATTGAGAGCAAACACTAGCAAAGAAAAATGTTTTAAGCTATCCATTGTTTCCTAAAGGTAACATTTATAATACATAACTTACATTTATGAAAATTCCAATATAACAAGGCATGCACAATCACGTTAATTTTATTCAAACATAAGTATACCCTAAATGCAGTATTTTCTGTAGTTTGAATTTTGACTGTCCAACACAAAATGCTGCTTATCCAATAAAAAGTTTCATATATGTCAAACTATGGTAATCTTTATGTATCCACATGCATACAGGCATGTAAGCAAAACAGACCTTAAATTTTTCTAAATTATACATCTTAAAAAGCAAACTTGAAAGCCATCAGAGCAGAATTTTTAATTGTCTTCTGTCAAAGAATATTAAATGTTAATAATGAGACACAACTAGAGTTGAGATATTACATTTGAAGTTAGAGCTTAAATGTGCTCCTTTAAACTGTACTACATGCCCAACAACTGTCCCAATTAAGCACTAGGAAAAAGAAAAAACAAATACCCAACTACAGTATGAGAGAAAAATCTTTTCTCATTTAGCATATTTACTTGAAACAAAACAGAAATTCCTCAGGCACATAATGAACTTTCTCTTTCTGCATGTTTCAGGTGACATCCATTAGAAAGCATCTCAGCTTGATGGAGCATGCCAGCTCTTATAGGTGCTATTTGCAATTTTACAAGGAATCTAAACAAGCTTGTATCTTCCTGAAAACAAGTTTCTTATTCAAGACATAGTCTGGCTATTCCTCTTAGTTAAAAAAATGTACTGTTTCAATTTTCTGAAACTGTAAATGTCACCATCAGATCAAGAATCCTCTCCAGTGTGACAGCCCTAATTTACAATTTCTTCCCTCCAGGAGTGATGAATATTCACCTACCTCTCTCTGCCAGCTCAGTGGAAGTGTTTTCATTCACCAAACGCTATATTCTATAACAGCATGCACATTAGCACACTGGATACTCGTGCAGGAATGGTTCTCTTTCTTGACTGAGTGGTATTCAAACATGATGATATTTAACCACTGGGACAACTTGTACCTCCATGCCCTTACTCCACAGCAACTTTCTTTTCAGCACACCATTTCAAAATGCCAGTTGCTTTTCAGGACTGACACTCCATATACATATATACAGTTATATAGTAAAAAGTTAGGTCAGTCAAAAAATACGATTCAGTGAAGCCATTAAAAAAATGGGGAAAAAACCCATAAAACACAGACCCTTTCACGAAAGCGTCAGATGTTCCTCCTGATTTCACCGCTGTTAAATTCTTTGCTTCTTTGATGAGGACTTCTAAAATACCTCCAGACGACATGTGAGAATCTCCCTTTTTTCCTTTTTTAAAGCTCTTCTTTCCTATACATACAACAGAGTTGCAACATCATTATTAGAAATTACAGATACACTCCAAGACTTATTTGGAAACGTAAATTTTCTTGGCTAATTTTTTTGTAATCATTTACTACAACAGGATGAAAGTAATCCTTATGAAGTGATTTCAACTCTCTAGGTGTAGAGAAATATTAATAAGACTGGGACGGAAAAGTCACTCCATAATTGATAAAGAGCTTGACCATGGAACTAGCTAGTCCATGCTGGGCACAACAGAGTGCCTTGTCTGAAGTCCTGTCCAAATATACGTATTTACGGATTACTCTGCTGAACATAAAGAACTGCACGTCCTGCAAGTCCTACCCTCTATTCAGAATGCCCATCCACTGCTGATGTTAAGGCAGTCCTACACCACAGGCAAAGCTTAAAATGCCAGAATGCACCACACATGTTCCTCGCATAAGGACGCAGCGCTCCTCGGAGACCGCAGCAAAGGATGCGGAGCTCACTGACCCACTGCTGCTCTTGAACAGCAGCATGAGGACATGTGTCCTTGCTGCTGCTGCAAACTCTAAGAGGCTTATCAGCAGGGATCATATGCACTGATTCAGGCTGAAAACCTCAGAGAAAAAGATCAGAAGTGATAAAATGTATCAATTTTTTTAAAAAAAGCATTTGGCATATATCTGGACTTTTCAGACAACAATTAGCTTTCGAGAAAGAGAAAACCTTGGAATTACTGCTAGTGGAGGGAATGTAATCTGTCAGAAAAAATAAAGAAAGAAAAAGAAAAAAGTTTAATACGTCTATCAAATCCTAATGCTAACAAGCAATACTGTCACTAAGGCAGTGATATATCTGTGCCTTGCATATCCATGTACATTCATGTGCTACCCAGTGATTCCTCTCACTTTGGGTGATCGCTGTTCCTCATGCTACTACAATGCAAAAAATTAGTAACTACTTTTTCCTGTTCATTGTTCATGAAAATAATGCCTTACTCTAACAGTTCCAAACAATATGTTGCAGGACTGAATTATAGTAGTAACACAGTAGCACTGAGCAGAGGTAAAGCATGGTGAAAAAAGAACAAAAGTGAGGAAATAGATGAGCTTAAACAAAATTAAGCATGAAGCACTAAATAAAGTCTATTACTTTTATCATCTCTATGCTGTATATAACTAGCTGAACAAAGAATTCAGAAGACTGGTGTAGACTATTTTTACATGGCTGTCCTCAGTTGTGTTATCTAACGTTTGATTTCTTTTTAAATTAGGTCACAGCCATGCAACAACACTTGCACACTACTCTTCCCTTCTCTCTCGTTAAGCTCAATGTAAGAGAAGAGGATGGAGGAGGAGAAACAGTCACAGTTCAAGATTTCCACAGGTAAAGACAATTAGAATACTTAGGCATGATTTCTGCCTTCACTAATATTATTACTTCACCCTAGGATTTTTAATACTCAGAAGGATGTTATCATTCTCTGCCATTAATGTTTGCTTTACCTTGAAACTGCCCTAGAGGAAGCATTAGGTTTCTGTCTGGGGGAATGTAACGTAAAACAACTGTTAGTTCTCCTTTATACTGAAGCCCAACATCTGTTGCAACCTCCATCTGAAAAGAGAAGACAAACAAACAAGCCAAACGAATCCAGCTAAGGTTAAGCATTCACTTTTTCATTTTGATTTTAATTTTGTTGTACCAATGTAGTGTTCTTAAACATATCAAGACATACCAGCCTACTTTCAGATAATCAGACATTTCACGTTGAATGCAATCACATTTTAGAAAACTTTATGAGCTAGGGAATGCAAGCTCTCAGAAGAATAAAGCCACAAGGCATTATATACTGTTCAGTGAATGTACAGAGTAGAGAGATATGTAGCATGAACAAATGAAGCAAGCAAACAGGGAAAAAGAGTCCTCAAACTTATTTCTGGACAGTTTACTGTAGCTAATATAAACTGACAAATATTTCCCCCAGTCAGGAATTTAACCCCCCATTGGTTTCAACTACTTTAGAGGAGTCACCCTGAGCGACTCTTGGAATGGAGGTATGGAGAACCAAGGCGAGGGAAAAGAGCAGAGTCCAGCTCTGAAATAGAAAAACTTCTTGAAAACCAGTGTCCTTTGTCTTTCCTACACAGCTACTATTTCTGCATCTTTTTGTTTTATAAATATTTAAATATTGCCTGGAAAGAATGCATTCAGTGCTCTTCAGGGCATCCTTAATTAAAAGAACATTATGCCTTCACTGACATGTGCTAAGCTTTCATTCACATTGTAAGAAGTTGGAAAATACATTTTAAAAACAATAAATGCAACACAGACAAAAATGTGTCATGCCCTGTTCAAACTGACTTCTAGAAAAATAAAGTGCAGTGAAAAAAAAGAAGCCTTGTACATTTACATTAGAGATCAGGTCTATGAAAAACCGCAGGCATATGCTAACCCTGCTTACTGATGTCCACTAATGGAGGTGGGACTACTTGGATGCTCAATGCTTCTGTACATGCTTCAGTGTTCAAGTTCGGGAACCAAGTCCACAAACCTCCCTGACCTCTCAACAGGGACAAAGTATGTGTATAAAGAGAGAGGGTCCTCGAGTGCTGGGAGATACCAAGGCACCACACAAGAGAGCAGCCCTGAAGAAAAGGACTTGGGGGTACTGGTGGATGAGAAACTCAACATGAGCTGTCAGCGTGCACTTGCAGCCCAGAAAGCCCGTTGTGTCCTGGGCTGCATCAAGAGGTGCGTGGCCAGCAGGTTGAGGGAGGTGATTCTCTCCCTCTACTCCACTCTCGTGAGACCCCACCTGGAGTCCTGCGTCCAGTTCTGGAGCCCACAGCACAAGAAAGATCTGGACGTGCTGGAGCGTGTCCAGAGAAGGGCCACGAGGATGATCAGAGGGCTGGAGCACCTATTCTATGAAGACAGACTGAGAGAGTTGGGGTTGTTCAGTCTGCAGAAAAGAAGGTTCCGAGGAGACCTTACTGTGGCCTTACAGTATCTTAAGGGGGCCTACAAGGAAGCTGGTGAGGGGCTTTTTAGGATGTTGGGTAGTGGTAGGACTAGGGGGAATGGATTAAAGCTCGAGATGGATCGGTTCAGATTGGACGTTAGGAAGAAGTTCCTCCCCATGAGGGTGGTGAGACACTGGAACAGGTTGCCCAGAGAGGTGGTGGAAGCCCCATCCCTGGAAGTTTTTAAGGCCAGGCTGGATGGGGCTCTGAGCAGCCTGATCTAGTGGTGGATGTCCCTGCCCATGATGGGGGGTTTCGAACTAGATGATCTTTAAGGTCCCTTCCAACCCTGACAATTCTATGATGTTTGTATGATAAGCTTTAAAGAATTGCTTCTAGATGAATGGTCTGATCAGTGACAGTATTTCTCTGAAATGCATTCAGCTTGTTTCCTAACTCTCTAGGAATGTCAAAATTCTATTATCAAAACAGAATAAAAAAAAAAACAAAACAAACCCATCAGAAATCCATACAGTGGCAGGCACAGAGTCAGTACTGCCTTCACATCATAGACTCCAGGCCAAGGCAATAACCAGGTTTAGTGGGGCTAAGTCTGTACATAAGGATGGGACAGGGAACAAAGCAATTTTTTAGTGATAATAAAAAGGCTCTCTTGTGACTCTGAGAAAAACGGTCCTGTCTCCACCACTGTCTGATGACAGTTGCTATAACAGAAGATGAAAGAAAACTTGTAGTAAATGGCTGTGGAATAATTTGCTTAGCATCTAAATCTTGCCAGTCAGGCAGCTTATGCATGGTTTAAACTATGAAAGTTTAGGATCAAGTTTCCCATAATGGTAGCAAAGAATTTTTTTCTTTTCTACTGGTGGACAAGTGATGGTAGAAGTTCTTACATCACGAAGAATTTTTAAACTTCCCTCACAAACTCACATATAACACTGCTCTAGACTCTGCCCCCTCTTTAACCACAGAACTATTTTCTTTTTTCTGATTTAACCACACTCCTCTTGAAAATAGACATTCAATACTCGTAGAAGAAATAGGTCTAAAAGTCTCCAACCTCTTCACTAAAGCAGTGAAATGACTCATGATAGAACAAATAACATGCTGTAATAAAACCCGAGAAATGTTTCATTGGCATTCCATCTGTCAGGCAGATCATATGGGAGAAAAGCGTGTAATTTGCCTGTGTATTAACCTGTGTTTTTTTAAACTCAAAATGCAATAATTGGTAGATTTTTAAAAGATATTATCTTTCCAGATTAAAAATCTTAATGGCATTTTAAGTTTGGAAACACTATTTATAATAACTTAGAAGGCAGACAAGACCAATTCAGAGTTTGCTTTCTTTGGTAGAAAAAAAAGAACTTATTTAGAAATCATTTTCATACGTTTGGAAATAATCAGACAACACCTTCCAGCTGGAATGGCTGAAACACTTAGCGCCTCATTACTTTTTCCTGAGCAGGAGAGATTCATGACTGTCTTTCTTATTTTTTTTTCCCATGTCAGGATTAAAAGGAACCACCCATACACACATACATCCCCAAAGACTGAAACGAGAGGGCAAAGAGACTACTGCATGATAGGAAGCTCAGTTTCAGACCAACACTGCATACAATCTGCAAACACAACAACTACGAGATGCACATCTTATTGCCGTGGACTGGTGGGTACTAGAAACGAGCAACATCTGACACCAGCCACAGCTATGACAGAGATGTAGTAGACTTTTCTTCTGCTTCAAGAACAGACCCAACAAAAGCAACTTACATAAAGCAAGCCTGTAAAGAGGATGGTATCATCCTGGCCTGGACATAGTGCTGACTGAAACACCCTTGCCATTAGTCACCACTTTTTCTTCCTTCTCTCACCTTGTCTGGATCATGAAGGGTTGGACTAGATGAGCTTTAAAGCTCCCTTCCAGCCCCACACTTCCTATGATTCTATGAAATAAGAGTTCGTGGCCACTCTTACTAACAAAACTGAACTAGGAAACTGTGAATGATCTTCTTTGCTCCTTTGTGAGGTGTGTTAAGTATTCAAAGAAAAGACCATTTTCCTTCTGTATCTTCTGGCAAATTATTTACTAAAATATAAATTTGTGACAGTTTAGATGTAAGTCTCACAAAGGGCTATACCTAGAAATTGATTACACAGCCATCAGATCTACCTCCCATCTGAAAGTAAGGCACAAATTAAGCTCTCCCTCCTAAAGCGCCAAATGTAACTATTTCATTTAAAATAATGAACACAGAGCAAGTGAGTGATTAGAGTCTATCTCCACATCACTTGTGCCAAAACCTTGGATTTTTCTGAAGCAAGAAAAATATACTTTCCAAAACATCAATCTAAACCACTGGAATTTCTGGAGATTCTGGCTGCTGCAGGAGCAAGCTAACCAGAAGCCTTTCATCCTCTAAGTTACAATAACTCTGAATCTCTTCCAAACACAAACACCTTTGCCAAAATAGGGGGTACCCTAGAGATGGAGGTCATTCTATCCTTCACTAAGTACAACGCAAGTCCTGTTTCACAGACCAGTTGAGAAGCTTCATCTCGGACCTTTCTAGTTAAGGCGAATAAGAGATTAGTATCTCATTTTATCACAGCTGAGAAGTGTGAATCACTTTGAACCAAAACAAAAAGATCTATTTCTTTAATAAATTGCTAAGAGTTGGGCAGGTGGGAATGGTAGAAAAGTCCTTTGATTTATGTGCCTTTTAAAAAAAATAATTTATTTTCTAGGTCATTTCTTCACTGCAGTTTATTACAAGATGGACTTACAGTTTATTTAAAAGATTTTTTTGTTTGCTTTTAAGTAGTCAATCACGTATAAAGTTTCCATGAAGACTTTAAAACTAGTATGTACTGTTTGAATAAGGAACAAAGATGGTTTTTTTTATTACCATATTAGACACTCAAAGTCACCATTTCATAAACACGTGACAAAGGAAAAATAACAGCCTTGCTAAATTTGCTTCACAACACTTTCACCAGGCCCTGGAGACCCTTACCTTGGGCTGGAGCACAAACCACTCATCACCCTGATTTTCAAAGTTCCAGGAATCAAATGGAATTTCCACCTCCCCAAGGAAGCTGTTGTGTCCAAATCTGTCATAGTGCCAGACGGAAAGCTGCAGGGTCCTGGTTTCTAGTTGTGTGTGACTGATGACGTACTACCAACAGAAAAAGAGAAAAAGAAACTCTCAGAATAAGCATAAATAATAGTTTCCATGGAGCTTTTTACAGCTGTAGCTCAATTTCACAAAGCCCACAGCAGCTAACAAATGGTCCATGAAAGAGAGATTTGTTTTCTTTGCAAACAAGATTGATCTAGCTAGAAGGCTCATAATATTAATTTTAAACCTAACTCTTTTCTTTGCAGTAGGCATCCAATGGTAATTAATGTTACTATCAAGGTTGTGTTCTTTTCTGTATCCTTTACTGAGTATTTATGACTATAAATTAAATTACAATGCTTAAATGTATGATCCTGTTGATTCCTTATAAGTTTATGTAAAAGAAGATCAACATTTTCATTTGTAAGAAGAAATCCTTCTTTCATCCCTAGAGAGAGTATGCTGTACACTACTTCCTAGAAATAGCATCCACTTCTCCTTTTCAGTTGTATCTTTGTAACTTAAGAAAAATTGTTCTGAAAGCAAGTAAAACTGCAGCTGCAAAGCTTCACCAAGTCTGTGAATAATATTTGTAATACCCTTAGTAACCACTGTTGGTTTTGAAAGCTATTAATAACTCCTCTGAGGAAACATCATATTCTAGCAAATAGACATAAAATTATAAACATCTGGAATTCTAGCTCTGCACACTCTGCTTTTTAGCAAAATGTCCATTAATTGCCTGAGATTCACCCTTCTCCAAAATGACTTAGATGGGAAATTTTAATCTATCTCTAGTTCAGTATCAGTTACTGACTTCGAGCTTACAAAACCTTTAAGGTGCTTTTAACATCTCTGAGCTCAGGCTAGACAAGAACATCATCAGTTTTGAAAAAAAAAAAAATCTATGGAAGCTAATAGAAGTTTTATTTATAAAGGGCAGAACTAAACAAAAACATTTCTTCAACACTGAAAGCCAGAAATTACAACTCACAGATTACTAGATGGTTTTGCTTAAATACATTCCTTTTGAGGCATCTCTTCCAAATTCTAGTCTACATACTGGAACACGTATAGAAAATGCCTGTGAGCACAAGTAGGACATTCATAACAGCTTGAGAGAAACAGTGTTCTCACCTTCAGTGTTTCATTAAATTCTGGATTGGTGCTGTTACTTTTAATTTTGGTCTTGCGTTTACTTTGGCGGGACTTATCAGGCAGAAGGTATGCTTTGACGTATCTGCAGATCAAGTAGTAAATTATTAGCAAGGAATAAAAATGACTGTTTTGAGCAAGGATCTGATATTCCTGTATTAGCAATACACATTTTTGCCATCTAAACAATGTACACACGTAAGAGAATATGTGAAACATGGAAAGTCATGATCTTTATCTACAAACCCAGCAGTGTTATTCAGATAGGATCAGAATAACAAAGGGCAAAGCTTAATTAATTTACTCATCCTCAGAAATGCAGAAATCTTTCCTAACACTTTCCCTTTTGTAGTATATGACTACTGACTGTTTACATGTGAAAATACATACGCTAAAAATATAAGAGAATGAAAAACTTCATACGTTGCATCTGATAGAATTGCACATGGTTATAGACACCAATTATTGCTTCCTGATGACAGAATTTACATATTATACTGAAAACTACAATAAGCTCAGAAAATGTGGTTCTTGAACAGTGAATCTATGGATGTGTGAAACCAAAGCTATCTCTACCCCTCCCTCCAAATCATCGCTCTTCTCACACACTTGAGTTTTGATTCTACAATTCAGCTTCCCTATTCCTTCATATGTTTTGCCCTTTTATCAAACAGGTTGATAACTTCAGTAACCTTATTGTTTCTCCAGAATAGGCACATGTTACCCTAAGAAACACATTGCAAATGCCTTTCCAAGAGGGAATCCAAAACCAACCATCATCAAAACACTGACTTGTAGCAACCGAGTACTGTGAGCTCTCAGGTTGACATCACCGCCCCTGGCCACATCACTGTGTGTGATGTGGTGGAGGACACCCCCAGCAGAGCCTAAAAGGAAATTCTTCTCTGTGCTTACGGATCAGTCCTTTGCTTCTTCTCATCTCCAACGGCCAGATTTCTGCAACTTTTTACCAGGATGTTGAGGGCACCTGTTTTGTAGATATAGTTGATGTTGAGAAGGATTTCGCCGCTGACCTTCACGTTGCCATAGTCACCAGTTTCACTATAGACGCTCAGCATGCTGTTAATACTAGTCTATGGGGGAGAGAAAAGGGACTTGGAGGCTTAAACAAATTACCAAATTTTTACTGAGTCTCATAAGGCAACTGCTGACAGAACCATTAGAAAAAGTTATAAGGACGCTTCCAATAACAGAGATGATATAAAAGCATGTTTGTTTAAAGTGACACCAATCTCTCAGTAGTAATTGTAAAAGAATGAGCAAAACTCCATATGCACCAGTTCGGCAATTTACCTAAAGGCAAAAAAGTTTACAAAAAATTTCACGATATTTTCCACTGCACCGTAATATATCACCCCCCAAAACATTTTACAGATACATATTTTTCACTCATATCATACAGAGTATAGCTATGAGGATTTCCTCTTCCAAAAGATTACCATTATGAAAGAACTAAGCATTTTTTAAAGAGAGATGGAGCAATATGCACACTGCCAGAGCCAAAGGCATTTAAGAAATCTGGTGCACATTTTCTTTTGTATCACTAGGCAAGATGGCTCGAAAACATATATGGTGATCTAAATCCTAACACCTAAGAACCTTGCAAGACAGTCAGGTATAGTCTTCAACACAAAAGGAGAAAAGAGAGAGAAACATTAAAACATAAGTAAAAGATTCAGAAGAACTCACAGTATCACCGTCTGTTTCAGGCACATTTAAATACGTCCATTTTCTGTCAGAGCCTTCTGGGGAGTTCTTTAAAGAAGGCAGTGTGAAAGGTCAAGAGAGAAAAGTGTTAGACAGATACAATGAGAAAGAGTTAAGTGCAGTGACAAATCTTTACCTACAAAGACAAGTGAAGAAAGTTTGTATTGCAAAGCCATAGCAAGAAAGAAAGAAAAAGGTATCACTAAATCAGAGAAAAGCTAAGTGTTTTCCATATACTTCAAGTACTGAAGGACTTATAGCTCGAGATAATTAAATAGAAATCAGGTATCTTCTGTATCAAAATAAACAGATTACATTTTAGAACACCAGCTGAGCAGATTTGGATTTCTGCTGGGTTGCATTTGAATTTGTCCTCATTTATGTCTGCATGAAGTCATTTCTTACAAAAACCAAATATTCACGTACTTGCAGGATTGGCGCCTTTAGAAGAAATCAAAGTTTTTCTATGGAGTTTGTAAGAATAGATAAAAAATCACACAAATGTTTAAACACATCACTCTTCAGGCAAAGAATAGAGTAATAGAATATTGGGGGAAGCATTTCCCTCCCTCTGCTTGCTGAAGTAGTATCAGGAAATCTTACCAACAAGCTCAAGAGAAACTACATCTTGATCTACCTCTTTCCTTATCAGATGCTGGGAGGAAGAAAGAACAGAGTCAAGGGGAAGAGCCACACACACAAAAATAAATCCATCTGTAACAAGACTCAGCTCTCCAAGCAGATTACCTAAGGACCCTGCAGGACAGAGAGCTGGAGGGGTAAACAAGCCTGTAATATGAGAAAGAACAGACATGAAAGAAACAGAAAAACCAATCATTACCCACGAAAATAATTTTATACACCATATAGGAATAATAAATGGAAAAAAAGGTGGGGTTTTTTGTATTTCTGCTGGCCGTCTTTAACTTTCATTTAAAAAGGAAAATGGGAAAAGGGAAAAATGCTTGTCCTTTTAATCCTTGGTATAATTTGTTGAAATTTCATGAACAGGACTCACTAAAATTAGTGGAGAATTAGCAATGCACACTGACAAATGTGTCATGTTTCCTCCTATTCCTAACATGTCTTGAGCTAAATTCCAGCCTTGACCATTTATGCATTTCCATCTCTAGAATACATGAAAATGGGTACCCTTGGACACAGACAGTGAATTTAACAGTCCCAGTACGTGCTACAAAATGCCTAAATTATCCCTGTAACAGAAAAGTAACAATTTTTATGCCTACTTCAGAAAACAAACAAGACCTAGCCAGGCTGGAGGGCTGGGCAGGGAGAAATCTT